ATAAGAATTCCACACCCCTGCTGCCCCTCACTCCCTGCTGCCCCAAGGCCGGGCCTTGTGATAAATCCGGCCCTGATTATATCCGCGCGGCAATTGATGAAAAAAAGAGTACAAGTATCTTTTTTTGCAACACGCACCGCATACCTTTGTCAGCCGCGATGATGTCTGATTGCCGAAGCATTAGAAAAGAATGGCACCACCAGCGTGATCAGCTGTGGTGTGTGCGATTTCGTGACCGCGCAGCCATCCGCTCGGTTTTGTGCACATTGCCGCGCGGTCATGGATCGCCCAGGTGTGAACCGGGCATGAACTGTTGCCGACACTGTCCTTCCTTCTGGAGGGTGGCTACTTTTGTTCTCCATGGTCCCAGTGTGTGTTATAAAGTAGCCACCACTCCAAACTCACTACAGTGATGGACTACAATCTCATGTATGGTTAAGTAATTTGTATTGAGATTGTAGTCCATCACAGGAGCGAGCTTGGAGTGATGGCTACTTTACAACACACACAGGGACCATGGAGAACAAAAGTAACCACCCTCCAGAAGGAAGGACAGTGTCAGCACCAATTCAGAGATGATTTGAGGACCTACAGCCGAGTGATATACAAATAAGATACATTTTTATTAATAGTTAAGGTACTTGAAATGTATTTTTAAGATTTAACGCCTGAGTTTAGTGTCACTTTAGGAGCACACAACCGCAACGCAGTGGTGTGAACAAGGCAAATTGACTTGTCTTGCGTTAGGGCTGCGCTGGCCTTTTTTTAAACGCAGATGGTTGAACAAGCCATTGGTTTCAACCATTATGATTGTTTCAAGCATGAATATGTAAATTCTGGAACAAGTACAAAAATCCCCTGCATCTGCTAAAACACATACTGGTACTCAGCCAAAGACATTAGATATCAAGATCCACGCTCAAATCTAATCTCTGTCACTTTCCTCTCATCAAGAAAGAATGTAACCTGACAGGTTTGCTGTCAATTGCTACTGCTAAGATAAAAACTGGTGCTGAAACTGTCCACTCCAACTCTTCCCCTCTAAGGGCTTGTTTACACCAAATGCGGACCAGATCTGCATGAGTTTCTGCACACGCCGCGTTGGCACAGTTTTTGTTTTAAGCCTAAAATGGGCTATCAGTGCGTTTGTATGCGTTCCAGAGCAGGAAAAAACAGGTCTGGCTGCAGTTTTTTTTACATGCTCTGGAACTGAACGCTGCGGTGTGAACTAGAGCCCAAAATACCATTGGAATACATTGGACGCAGTTTTGATCTGGTCTGTAACTGCTCTGCTCCTGGAACGCGCTTGGTGTGTACTAGCCCTAAGTGGCTTAAAGTGACATTAAAGTCAAATCCCCCCCCATGCTGCTTTAAGGACTTACCTTAAATGATGTCTCTGGATCCGATCATCTTCTTCATTCCAGTAGTTTTCAGCAGTCCCTTCAGGGGGGATGCTGGTCTCTGATCAAGTGCTGACTGCTGTGTCTTCTGTGTCCCACGGTGTCTGTGTGAGTGCATTCTGCCAGGCTGCCTGCACTGACTTACATCTCTACTCTTCTTCCGCTCAAAGATCTCTACTGCGCATGCGCCCACCCCATGATCCTTTGCGGCAGCCCGAGAATCATCAGGTCTTTGGATGGGAGTGCGCGTCAGAGACACAGGTCAGTTTTAACCTTTTTGTAAACTTTTTTTTTAAAGCCCAACTGTGGCCTAATTATTTTTTTCCTTAAAAAAGGTCCCTCAGGCTGCAATCCTCACTTTTAATACCGATTCTCTGACACAATATACCCTGATCATACCCCCCTAAAACATCCAGACAGGCCAGTGCAAAACATACTTGTTAGTACATCTAAGGGCACATTCACACCAATTGCAGTGCGTTCCAGAGTGGTAGCTGCGATAGTTTTGCATTGTGATTAGACGCTTGGCAAAACATTGCCTGCGTTCCAGTCCACTGCAAATGCAAAAAATGCGACATGCTCTATTTTTTGCATTCGCAGTGGACCGGTGCGCAGGCAATGCTTTGCCACGCGTGCAGGCGGGGTGTGTGGCTGTGGTGCCATTGACTTCAATGCAACACCACGCCCCATATCGAAGAGGAAGTTTAGTGAGCGATTGTTGTGTGTTCTAGCAGCTACCACTCTGGAACGCACACAAATGGTGTGAATTGGCCCTAAAGGAAATTATACAATTAGACTGTAACATGTCTCTCCCAGTATTACTGAACCTGGAAGGCTGAGGGTATACTGTGGGTGTAGGATATAACGGGCCCTCCCCTGAGGGGTGTCAGCATGGCGCCCAGTGTAATGATGCAGAGAGCAGCACTGACGTCGGAAACCATGTTCTGGCTGTCAGGCTATTTTGTCTTCAATACTTTGAGACACTGACCCAGAACAAGTATAGAGGAGTATTTGGAACTTTTGCTGCATACTTTTCTGGGACTGACTCAGTAATAGTGAAGGCAGACACGTTCATTTCAATTGCGTTCTGCCGTGCTTTATAAATAAGCAATATGATAGTTTGTTATGTGTCTGTTATAATGGCAAAGCTCAAGCAGGAGACACATTAAAGGGTTATTGAACTCTCCGGTGTTTTTGCATATATCTAAGGCTAGCAAGCAGTATATACATGCAAAAAGTGTAAAAAAACAAACAAAAACCCTTCAAAAGCGCTTTAAACTTACCTGCGTCTCCGGCTGTGCGCTCCCGTCCGAAAATGTGAAAAATCTCGGGCGGCCGCAAAGCATCTTGGGGTGGGCGCATGCGAAGTTCACATTTTCGGCCGGGAGACGAGGAGAGACACAAGGTAAGTCTATGAACGTGTGCACCCGCATGCAGACGCCGTGGGACAGGAAGTGCCAGCAAGGACAGAGGAGTCAGCGCTGGATCGGAGACCCGCAGCAGCGCTAGAGGGACAAATGAAAATGACAGGAAAGAAGAAGATCGGATTAAGAGACATCATTCAAGGTAAGTGCTAACATTAACATTGGGGGAGGGAAAATATCTTTGACTTTAATGTCCCTTTAAGGCTGAGTTCACACCTAGGTGACTGCATTTTTGCGAGCAGATTGTAGCTCATTGATATTAATGAGCAAACGCGTGTAAAACACGCAAAAAATACAGCTAACACATTTTTTTTCCCCTATTGAGTCTCGGGCCAAAACGAGCTGTTTATGCCAAAAAAAAAAAAAGCTCATGTAATTTTCCAGCGGCAGGCGTTTTGCTTATTGCGACAAAACGCTCAGATGTGAAAAGGGCCACAGAAATGTATGGGATTTTAGGGGGGCATTTTTTGGAGCGTTTTTTAGGGCAGAAAAAGTGATATGGAACGCTCAGCGTGAACCTGATCTAATGCTACAGCCTGGTGCTTCTGCTCTGGCACCATAGAAAAAGTAAAATCAAAAACAAAACAAAGCCTCCTAGAGAGGCAATGCGGAATGATTAGAACACCTGAAGAGGAGAATCTGGTTAGTACAAATGGCCTTTGGCAGCTGTTTCTTTTTAAAGGAAAATAGTATGGAGGCTGCAGCTGCTGACCTCCCTTTCTGGAAATACTAACTCCTTGGCTGCCATGTTGATCAGTAGATTCCGCCCTCTGAGACCCAGGAAATGTATGCAGAGAGGTTAGGACTTTAGAACAGGGATGGATAAATGAATATGGAATTCAGGAGCCAGTCTGGTCAATCCAGGAGGCAGCAGGAATTATTTTTAGGAGACCGCTCCATTGACAACTAGAGAAACCCTGAAATGTTGGGCACCAGCTGTAATATTTAAGGCGCTACCTGGCTCTTTGGGGTTTGTCCAGCCCTGCTCCTATATTTACCCGTAGAGTAATGACAAAGGACAGACCCAGCTTTCTCATTCAAATCTTCCCCACAAAACATGCAGTGGAGCACACATTCTTATGCACTCAGAAGAGAGCTGGACAACCGTAGTGATCATCCATATATATTAGGGATGCACCGATATATCGGGCGCCGAAACATTTTGGCCGAAAATGGCAGTTTGGGCAAAATGCCGAAAGTGCCATTTTCCTGCGCATCCATTCTTTCTCTCTTCCCCTCTGGGCGCTGCTCTGTGTCCCAGCGGGGAGGAGAGAAACTGACAGCCGGCGGAGCGCTGCGGGAGGAGAGCGCTGTGAGTGGCCGGCGTCTCTCCCCCGCTCTGCAGGACTGTGATAGGAGGCTGCGCTGTCACAGGAGGCTGAGCTCTCCTCACTGCACCGCTCACTCAGCCTCCTATGACAGTGTCGGAGGGGAGAGCGAGAGCAAACACTCAGGGATCAGTGATCGCTGAGTGTTTGTAGATAATTGAGGACATGGTATGGATATGGTATGAATGAATGGGAAGTGCTCTACGTCACCTCCTGTTCATTCATAGTTGTGGTTATAGTAAACATACCATGTCCTCATGTTATCAATAAACAGGAACACTCAGGATTCCTGTTCATTGATAACAGGGGATACAGAAAAAGACATTGAGGACTGTGTCCTCAATGTCTTTTTTTATTTTAAAAGGGAAATATCAGGGGTCTGTTTAGACCCCCAATATTTCCCCGAAGCCCCTAAAAGTAAAGTACAAAATAAAAATATTTAATAAAAAATGAAATATAAATATTCAAAAGTTTATAAAAAAAATTATTGACAGGGCCTCGGCGCAGTGCGCGCAGTGACGGGGCCTCGGCGCAGCGCGTGCTCAGAGCTGTGTGTACGGTGATGGGTCCTCAGTGCTGTGTGTACAGTGACGGGTCCTCAGTGCTGTGTGTACAGCGACGGGTCCTCAGTGCTGTGTGTACAGCGACGGGTCCTTAGTGCTGTGTGTACGGTGACGGGTCCTCAGTGCTGTGTGTACAATGACGGGTCCTCAGTGCTGTGTGTACAGTGACGGGTCCTCAGTGTTGTGTGTACAGTCGGGTCCTCAGTGCTGTGTGTACAGTGACAGGTACCTCCTGTGAACACCTCCAGCATATAGTCCAGCCCCACCCCGGTGTCTCCGTCTCACCTTCTCCAGCACATCGGTGAGGTTGGTGCAGCCCTCGGTCTTGGTCCCGTTGTAGCCGATGTCAGTCCTGAGCCTCTCCCACAAGTACTGGGTAGTGAGAGGACCCTGCAGAGCCACACAGAACATCCCCAGGAACATCACCGGCTCCACCGTCATTCGACTACTATAGCAGCGTCGGGTCTCCGGCTTCTCCGGTCCCTCCGTGCCCGGCTCTGAACCGACCACCTCGTGCATATCGCTCTCACACATACCGCTGCAGGGTAGAGGCACATCGGCCGGGAGGCTGTGGGGTCCGCACTGCGGCCACAGGCGGGATAGAGGGAGGATAGTTCGGGAGGAGACAGCCCCGGTGACAGTGCGCCCCGCCCCTAGCACCGTGTATCCCGCCCCATCCATACTTTACGCCTCTCCTTCCTCCAATCATTCCTCTTTAGCCATATCACACCCCGCCCCTTTTCCCAACGATTCCTCTTCATCAATAATAAATCCCTCCCCTTCCTCCAATCGTCCGTCTTTATTTATACTATATCCTTCCTCTTCCTCCAATCATTCGTCTTCATCCAGAATACATCCATCCTTTTCCTCCAATCATTCTTCTTCATCCAGAATACTTCCATCCTCTTACTCCAATTGTCCCTCTTTATTCATTTTGCATCCCTCCTCTTCATCCAATCGTCCCTCTTTATTTATACTATATATACTATAGCCCTCCCCTTCCTTCAATCATCCAGAATACATCCATCCTCTTACTCCAATCGTCCCTCTTTATTCATACTATATCCCTCCCCTTCCTCCAATCATTCTTCTTCATCCAGAATACATAGTATGAATAAAGAGGGACGATTGGAGTAAGAGGATGGATGTATTCTGGATGATTGAAGGAAGGGGAGGGCTATAGTATATATAGTATAAATAAAGAGGGACGATTGGATGGAGAGGAGGGATGCAGAATGAATAAAGAGGGATAATCGGAGTAAGAGGATGGATGTATTCTGGATGAAGAAGAATGATTGGAGGAAGAGGATGGATGTATTCTGGATGAAGAAGAATGATTGGAGGAAGAGGAAGGCTATAGTATAAATAAAGAGGACGATTGGAGTAAGAGGATGGATGTATTCTGGATGAAGAAGAATGATTGGAGGAAAGGGAGGGATATTGTATAAATAAAGAGGGACGATTGGAGTAAAAGGATGGATATCCCTCCCCTTCCTCCAATCGTTCTTCTTCATCCAGAATACATCCATCCTCTTACGCCAATCATTCCTCTTCATCCCTCCTCTTCCTCCACTCATCCCTCTTCATCCATTCTGCATCCCTCCCGCACCACAAGGGTTAACTGATTGTTTTGGTCTAGGCCCGGGGATAGATAAAAGAAGATATACTCATCTGATCCTCAGTTCTGCGGCGGTCAGCACTCGCCTCTCTCCCCCTCCACTCTGGCTGTGGCATGTCCCTCGGTGTCCTTATGTCTAAAGCAAGTGAATGGACCTGCATTAGATGTGATGACATCACAGGTGCTTAGGCCGCCCAGGGTGAGGAGGCTGCAGGGACTGGTCTAGCTGCCAGACGGGACCGAGGATCAGGTAAGTATATCTTATTTAATCCATCTCTCAGACAAAACGAGCAGTTAACCCTTTCAGTGAGGGGGTAGCGCCACTGCAAGGGTTAACTTTGTTAGTTGCTGGAGTTCCTCTTTAAGTAGGGCTTCTATTACATCATTTTTGTAATATGTCTAAGGGGTCATTCACATCATAAGGTGCATAAAACCTCTCAAAAAAACGTAGGTGAGTTGATGTGCATTGATATGTGTTTACATGCGTCTCACATCCGTTGATGTGCGTCTTTCATGCGTTTCCCCCTATTTCCAGTGTCATAAATTCCTCTTCCCTTTGATTGGTTCATTCCCCTTCAGTTGTGCGGCATTTATGTGCATTTTACGTGTGTTCATGTACGTTGCAAAAAAATCCAGACACAATGCATTTTTCCACACCTCAGTGTGGGGGTGAACGGGGGATGTAAAAACAATTGCTTTCTATGTATCCCTACAGAGACCTGCATAATTGGCTAGGTCACAGCAGATGGTGTGAACGAACCCTAAGGGTCACCATACACGTTACAATCTGGTCATATGATCTTTGTGCAATCAACTTTATATTTACCAAAATTGTGTAAACGGAAGACCTACCTAATCTGACATGGCAATTTGCGACACTTGTGACAATTCAATAAAGTTCTAACAAAAAAAAAATACACAGTGCGATGCATTGGGATCAGCGCTTCGGCACTGTAACAGCCACCGCACACCAGACGTTGTGCGATTGGCGCAGCGTCTGGTGTGAGTTGGCACTAGAGGAGATTGTACAGTCAGATTCTAATGTGTGTGATGAGCTTCAAGTGACATTAAAGGCAATTTTTTTCCACCCCCCCAATGCTAAAGTAAGTACTTACCCTAAATGATGCCTCTTGATCCGATCATCTTCTTCTTTACTGTAGTTTTCAGTAGTCCCTCCAGCGCTGGTGCCGGTCTCCGATCCAGCGCTGACTCCTCTCTCTTCCTGGCACTTCCTGTCCCGTGGAGTCTGTGCGGGTGCACGCTGCAGCATTGACTTACCTTGTGTCTCTCCTCGTCTCCCGGCCGAAGATCTGAACCGCACATGCTCCCTCCCCAAGATCCTTTGCGGCCGCCCGAGAATATTCAGGTCTTTGGACGGGAGCACACGACGGAGACACAGGTAAGTTTTAACCCTTTTGGAAACTTTTTTTTAATGTTTTTGCATATATCTACTACTTGCTAGTAGTTGGTACTGTATATGCAAAAATACGCAAGGGTTTAATAATCCTTTAAGTTCAGTCCTGCACACTAAAACACTAAGGCTTAGCATGCAGGTTAGTTTGCTGAGTGAGCTTTGGCAGGGAAGGTGGCATGATGCACTAAAACACCGTTAGCTTTTTAAATTTTTTTTTACTTTATTTGGCGTGTACAAAGTGTACAATTCATTCAGGCCTCTGCACAGCAACTTGGTGTACTGCACTGCGGTGATCTGCAGTGCCACACAGTGCACTGCGGTGAGGGCTCAGTCACACTAGATGCAGTGCGTTCCGGCCCGATTTTGGCCACAAAGCACTGCCTCGCATTGCGGCCAGCTCACTTTTTAGTGGGGCAGGAGGGGGCGTGGCGGGCCATTCAAGTGAATGGCGCCGTTGCCACGCCCTCTGGGGCAGGAGGGGGCGTGGCGGGCCATTCAAGTGAATGCGCCGCACGGGATCGCAAGCCACATTGTGCCTGCGGTTCGGTCCTGTGCGGTGTGATCAAAATGCTGCAAGCACTATTTTGATCGCACCGCACAGGACCGAGGCAAAATCGGGCCGGAACGCACTGCATCTAGTGTGACTGAGCCCTGAAAGCAGCATGTCTGCATTTTTTCACACCATACATCTTACCCACATTGCGGTGTGACCCTGGTGGTGACCGGCCTTGATCAGTTGCTGGAAAACATCAGTCACCCAAGTTGATGTGAACAAGCCATAACTCTTTAATGTCAACCTAATGTAAAACAAAGAGCAATATTATCTGTAAGTGAAATTCTTATCCAATGTATCATCAATTAATGTCTTAGCTGCACTACCAATGCCCTTCACTTTGTTGTTGCAGTGTTCAGTGCTTCCCCGGAGCTGCAAGGATCCATGTGTATTCTTTAGGACATTTCAGATTGTTACTTTTATTTATCCCGCACCCGCATATCCCGATGACTGTTTTTTATTGTCACGTTTTGATTTAGGTCTCTGGGTCACCCCACTGGTCAGTGCACCCTGTGCTGTGAAAAACAGACAGCTTTTTATAACTTCATATTATGTAAAAATGTTTAGAATTTTTATATAGTTTGCAAACAATTTAAAACGTTATTAAAGTGTAACTGTACAAAAGCAGCTAAATACAGTTACAATGTGTCTGTGAACTGTCTAGCCGCGAAGCCACCTGGCATGAAGGTGCCACTAGGCAGTACAACAGCCATATACTGACTGCTTATTACTGTGCTTTAGGCTGCGGTGTGGTAACAAAGTGTCTCAAAATTCACAGCACACCCCCATATTTACCCCACTCCATCCTCAAAGCACACCCCATATTTACCCCACTCCATCCTCAAAGCACACCCCATATTTACCTCACTCCCCCTTCACAGCTCACCTTATATTAACCCCTCTCTACCCTCACAGTACACGCACCCCATATTTACCTAGTTCCCCCTTCACAGCTCACCCTATATTAACCCTTCTCTACCCTCACAGCACACTCCATATTTACCTCCCTCCCCCTACACAGCACACCCCATATTTACCTAATTCCCCCTTCACAGCACACCCCATATTTACCCCTCTCCACCCTCACAGCACACCCCATATTTACCTAATTCCCCCTTCACAGCACACCCCATATTTACCCCTCTCCACCCTCACAGCACACCCCATATTTACCTAATTCCCCCTTCAGAGCTCACCCCATATTTATCCTTCTCCAGCCTCACAGCACACCCCATTTTTCCCCACTCTCCCCTTACAGGTTCTGCACAGGGCCATTACTGCAGTATGCTGTATGTGTATGGGATTGTTTTAGATATTCGGGAACGCTAAATGCTGTTCTGACATTACTTAATGGAACTGAATCAATAGTTCTAGTGAATACCAACACATAATAAATCCATTATTGTCATATTTGCCTCCTGTTATCTGCCTGTTTACTGTGCGAGGAGTCATTTGTGCCATATTTCCTCTAAAAGTAACATTTACTGTCAGCTAATTGTGAACGCTGAAATTACCTGATGGAAAATCAATGTTTTCAAATATCAATCTTCTTGTAAAGTGTGGTTAAATAAAGAAATTATTTTCTCATCGGCACTGGCTAAAAATAGCTGTTGTCACTTTATGAATTTGATTATGGTAATTACACATGAGATAAGCTCTCATTTGATGATTCATCATATCACATAATTAGGTAAATGAGAATTTATTTGATGCAATGAAGGATTGCCATTATGAAAAATGTGCAGCATAGACTACTTGCTTTTTCATTCTGACACAGAAATTAACTTGGTGGTTTTACCCAACCATGAAAATGTGCAACATGCAGGGCAAAGCAACAGGTTCACTTTAAAGCCTAACTCCAGATTTACATGAACATTAGAAAAAATAGCCCAGCGCTAATCCACGAAAGGCTAATTGCTCCCTACATCCTGTGAGCCCAGGGAGTCAAGGACCCAACTCCCTATTTCCTGTAAACCCCGGGGGCACCAAGGGCCCATCACCCTATTTCCTGTGAACCCAGGGCATCAAGGGCCCACCAGCCAATTTCCTGTGAACCCTCGGC